CTCAATGCCTTTTATTTTTATTATAATAAAATTATCACTAAATTATTTAAATTATTGATAAATTAACTCACGCAGTTGATTTTAATTAGACAATTTATTAAATAAAAGTCAATTTTATTTTTCAATACAAATTAATGTAAGAAAAGTACCCTTAACATATATTAACATATACAGGTTAAAAAACTCCTTAGTTATATGGTGTGTATATATATACATATAAAAACTAAAATAACCTGTTAGATCTTCCTCCCATGGTAGTCAGTATAACTAAAAAAAGTCATTAAATCACTATTTTCAGCATTTAAAAATAAAATTTATACGTCATTTATCTTTTTTTTTTTTTTTTTAACAGCAATATATCATTCATCATTCAACTCGATCAATTCAGTAATGAAACGTTGGAAGATGATTCGAGAGTAAGTTGAGATCCAAATTTGTCACATATTGCCGTAGATAATGTAAGTTAACGATTATAACATGTATATTATTATATAATTAAGTGTTTTTACTTAATTTTTTTTTTTATCTTGATTGCACAATATGAGATAACCATATCTCATATCTTATTTCACCTTATCCGTATGTCATCGACTCAAATTTAAGATATCTCATTTTCAGTGAATAGAGATGACCACTAATATTGTATATATACACACTTATTAATGTTACATCATCATTATAAAATTACAAATCATACATGGTATTATCAATGTATCATTTCTGTTTAAAATACATTATCCAAATTTAATACAAATTTCTAAACTCAACTTTACCGAACTTATGAGAAAGACTTTCATACCCACTAACCAAATATTTAAATATAAAATGTTTTCTCATCCAGATTTGAACGTAACTCTTCTTTCTTCTATCCGCTTCCTTCCCCCCAAGAGATTGAACTACTCGTCATCTCCTTAAAAAAAAAAAAAAAAACCTTAATATCTCCTATAAAAAGAAAAAAGAAAAAAACTTTTACAGAATTTATGTAAAATTATTACTTTTTAATGTCGTAAAAAATGAATACTAATAATAGGAGGAAGCTCCAGTTCAGTCAAGGCCCACAGAAATAGTATTAGAACTAACGGCCATCAAGATACTACTAATAAAAGACAGGACTTCCTCTTTTTCTCACTCATATAGTTTTTCTCAAAAGGAAACACACGGTAAGCTCCACATCAATTTCGAAACCAAATCAAGTTCCACTTCTCCAGGATGGAGAGGGATCTGTCCCGTCGTCGATCCTCCTACTTCTCCGGCTGCATGATGTCCCCCTCCTGCTTCCCCGTACACGATGAGATGGAGTACTCGCACATTAACGCGTACTGCTGTAGTAGTGCCGGCGACAACAAGCGAGGCAAGCGGTGGCGGAATCTACTGAGGCGGTTGATGAGAGACAGAAAGAGCCTGCATGGATCGAGACCCCTGTCTTTCAACTACGATGCGGTTAGCTATTCTCAGAATTTTGACGACGGCTGCCATCACGAAGAATCTGCCCATTGCTCGCAAGTAACGTCGACATGTAAGATGGAAGTTTAAAGAGTGACGTTATTGTTAATCTTGCGTTTATTGATATGAATATGATCTGTTTTTGCTGTAAGTTTGTTCAGATCTGTTGGGGTTTTTTTTTTTTTTTTTGTAAAATTATATGTTAATGATCTTCAGATTCAAGTGAAGCATTTCAGATCATTGGCCAATTTATTGCCTTCGGTACATTAGATAAGAAATTAGTTTATTTTTGATTTTTAGGTTAGCGGGTCGATGTCACGTGTAAACCAAACAATTAAATTGATAGGTGAATCAATTAATACGAGTTTTTATTATGAGAAAGCTACTTGATCTAATGACCGAGGATATACTGAGAGTACTGTAGAAAATGTTAACTTCAAATCTTTTGTGTGTTTTGTTTTTTTTTTTTTCTTTCTTTCTTTCTTTCCTTTTCCTTTTTCTTTTTTAATTTTGGGTTAGTTACATTATAGAAACTAAATATTTTTCATCCTTATACCAACGCTACCTCATCCTTATGATTGGAACTTAGAAACTTCTACTTTGCTTGTAGGAAAAATTACCCTTAATTAAGTAGCTTAGATGGCAAATCTTTAATGGTTTAATATATATGAGATTGAAAAAATTAAGATTTTTTCTTTAATTAACATATTAAAAAATAAAAATAATAAAAATAATTTTAATAAATTAACACATAAAAAATTTTATAAAAAATACTTAAGTAATTTAATAAAAAATCCATAACAAAATATTTTAATTTTCACTTATTCTGTATATATTATTATTAGCAGTTTTTATTCTATCTTAAAATGTATTCAAGTGCATGTTTGGTTTAATTTCTGAAAGTATAATTTCTGCTGCAGAAGTTAAATTTAACCGAAATGCAGTTTTCGTAATTATAGTTTAGCACTTTTAGACAATATTTATTCAAATAGTACATAAAAATTAGGCTAGAAGCTCATAGTCATGGTACAATTATAAATTTTGGCGCCTTTAGATGCAGCTTCGTCGAATGTGACCACGGAATAATTGAAGCCAGACTGTGGGGTAAAGTTGTGGGCGCAAATTCATGGCCAGTTCTCTACCTAGCTTTTTGACTATAATAGTGTCAATCTCTCAACTTACAATATAAAAATTTTAGTTTCTCATGTTTTTGGCTAAATGAAAAAGTCCAAAATGGATAGCGGCATCATGTGCTCCTTAAACTTTCATTTCCTGGTGCCATATCAACAGAAATGTGATAGTCCTTGCGATCATAACTGTCATAGTAGACAATAAAATTTGAGTAATAATATAGAGATAATTTTTTTTTA